AAGCAAAATTCATAACTGTTATTATGTGAGCAATGTGATAAGAAGTGATTGCCATTTTTAATTTAATATATTTCCCAATTTTTCTTTTCTTTTTTTAAATACCTTTATTTATTTTTACTTGGTGCTGAGGATTGAACCCAGGGCCTCGCACATGCTAGATGAGCGCTCTACCACTGAGCCACAACCCCAGCCCTCCCAAATTTTCTACTATAGACACATCTTATTTTTTAATACCATAAAAGATATATGTTATTTATATCCTTAAGGAGCATATCTTATAACTGGAGAGAAAAAAAAACAATAACATGCAGTGGGGCTGGGCTGAGGTTGTGGCTCAGCGGTAGAACACTCGCCGAGAACATGTGAGGCCCTGAATTCGATCCTCAGCTCCAATCACATAAAAATAATAAATAAAGATATTGGTTTTTTTTAAAGTAACATGCAGGAAACAAAACAATTGAGGACAAAACTGTATGGCTATTGACAATAAGCTCAGAAAATTGTTCAGAGCAGGAAAAGTCAGGAAAATTGAGAGAAGAAACTTAACAACCATAATAAAAATAAAAGATCAAAATTAGGGTTAAATTTTCCTGGGGGAAAATTACCTCTTTCCCTAGTGATTTTTGGGGTTTTCTATTGACCATGAATGCCAATCTGCAATGTGAGCAGGGTTTCAGTTTTAAGTGTGGATAACTGGGGCTGGGGATATAGCTCAATGGTAGAGTGCTTGCCTATCATGTAGGAGGCCCTGGTTTTCATCCCTAGAATTCCAAACACTGCCTCCCAGCAAAAATGATTCAACTTCACATAAAAAATAATAAATAGGCTTCATACATCACACTTCAAATGTAGAAAATAATAAAAATCTCTAGGTTGCTTTTTAAAATAGCATTTTGGGCATTATTTGAATGTTTCTTCTGCAATTCTTGATTACAGAACTTCTTATGTTGTGAAAATTAAAAAAAAATCCACTATATTCCTGTTTAGATAAGGAAAATGTAACAAAATTAGCTGCACTTAAATAAACAAAGGAATCTAATCATTCTTGTAGCACAAATAGTCACTTAAAAGCATAGATATACTATGAAAGTATAGAAATATATATTTCATTAGTTTTAGGATGCCATTGATTATAAAGCTCAAAATTATTTTTGACTAAGAAAGAAAAAAATGCTGCCAATTGAACCATTGCACATCATCAATTGTAAGATGAATCCTGATAAATTGTAGAAAATATGCATTTTTAAAATCATTGAAATAGTATATATTTGTTGTGACCATTTGGTAAGTATCTGCTACATCCACAAATGAGGCTAGGTGCATGACTTTGTTCAACATTCTATCCATGACCAACAAAAAAATGTTTAATAAACCCTTGAGTGAACGAATGAATGAATGTGTATATCTAACACCCCAAATGATATGATAAATCAGAATATACATTTTAAATCATCATTATCTGCTAATTTAAAAATCTAAAGTAACAGTATTATTGTCTGACATTTATTTTGAAGTGACACATCTATCTCTTGGAAAGAATCCTGGATATGATTAAATTCTGATAAATAAGAACCACCCACCTCTATGTAAAATAGGTGAAGCTTGATTTGTAAAGCCCAAGTGAGTAATCTTATGTGTTTAATATAACAAGTAAATTGTGTGAGGAGAGAAAACTGTTATCACCTCCTACTCTTCTCTGTTTTTAAAACACAGCCAACTTCACGGACTCTTACCTATGAGAAAAGAAGTTTTATCCTCTCATAGAATTTTGTAGTGGAAATGCTATTCTGTTCATGCACTATTTATTTCTGCTATAGTAAAAGTATTTAATAGAAAAAAAAGAAGCAATATCTTCATCCATTTACATGCAGGACATATAGTGATTATTGAATGGAATTCTTATACATTTGCCTTTCCAAAAATTCTGTTTATTTGTCAAGAGAATTAACACTGTTCACTCCTGGTGTTATTTGATAGTCTGTTTTCTCCTCTGTCTTTCTGCCATCTCTATCTCACTCCTTAATCCTCTGAATCACTATCACAACCAAACCATTGCCAAGTCCTGAAGCAAAGTGGCTCAGAGGACTGACTGGACCAGACTAAAATAAATATATGGTTGTCTTTATGTTTGTACAGAATGCCCCTAAATTAAAGAAAGGCTTGAATCATCTAGGTGATTTTCTGTGAAGTTGTATATATGAGTTGATATTCTGGAATCCTAGACAGCCATTGGCCCAGGCTAGGAAAATCCACATGTACTTACCTATATCATAATCTTACCTGAAAAACAAAATGCAGACAAACATGTAATATAATTTTTAGTTTTAAAAAACATGTTTGGGCTATAAGTAAGTCTGTTAAGAGAACATGATAGAAGGTAATAATTGTTGGAGGGAGATATATTGCTTGTCCTCAAGAAGTTTTTGTTTAATGAGGAAGGTAAGACTTATTGGTAAATACAAATATGATACTAAGGTAATTATGAGAGACATCTTGGGAATCAGATAAGGTGCCAAGAGAAACCACAAAAAGGGTTATATTACTTCTGACTGAAAGCATCAAGGAATGTTGATGGAAAAGATGGCATTTTAACTGGACCTTGAAAGTATGTGTAAGGGTATATAATATAGGCATATTCAGATAATACTTTAAAATAAACATTTCCTCTCTATTTCAGTGGAGCTGAGTTATATATTCAACCACAACGTGCTATTTGTAAGAAATACATACACACATACAAATATATGGAAAGATGAGTATATTTAATACAGGTGGGAAATTATTAGTAAATGTAAAAGTTGAATCATACACAAAACCTTAGCAGGATGATGAACTCCACTATTGGATGTTTAGAAGCATCCCTGACCTCTACCCAATAGATCTCAGTAACATTCTTCCAGATGTGAAAACCAAGAATGTCTCTTAATATTGTCATGGGTGGGAGGGGGCAAAATAGCCTTTAGTTAAGCAACTCTGGTATATGAAACCACAACACACAAGTGATTCTTTCCCTCTTCTCTGCAAGTGGATAAGAATTCACTTCATGACTTCAATTGTTTTTTAGGTTCCTTCTTCAGTGGCCTTTTTCTTCCTCTCTTCCTCTCAGAGACAGAGGCTCACTATGTTGCCCAAGCTGGTCTTGAACTCACCAGCTCAAGTGATCCTTCCACCTCAGCCTCCTGAGTGTCTGGGCCTACTGGCCAGAGCCACCACACCCAGCTAGTTCTTAACTTCCTTGGGTCAAGAAAGTCTTTGAAAATCTGTTGAAAGCTGTTGAGTCATTCCTCAGAAATACACGCATGCTTGCATGGTGTTGACTAGGGAATTTACACTGAGGAGTACTGTTTCCAGGAGCTGAAAGATGAGTCATATTCTGTATTTTCAATATGGGTAACTGACAGTGTCCAGAAGGTCCATATTTTGAAGCCTCTTCTTCATTTACCTCAAAACATTGAAACTCAGGTGATAATCCTTCCTTTGATGTTCATCTTAATCWTGTATTAGTTTTTGCAAGATTTATTCCAGCATGTACTTACCCACAGAAGACAACACACTGATGAGGTAGAATAGATCTGACTGCCCCTCACCCTTGAGTCTTGATTCCTGTCTAGTCCAGCTTATTCCCTCCCTGATTGTCCAGGTGCATGAGAAAAAATAAAGAACCAGAGGGGCCACCTGAACACTTGACTTTGTGAAATATGTACACAGAACATGTACCTCAATCTACGAGTAAATTATGAACACTCTAACCATCACCCACTGAGTACTCCTAAATACTTTCTGGAAATCCAAAGTCTTATTAATACACAAAATCAACCACTYCTCCTCTCCTCCCCGCCCCCACACCCCTTGAGAGCACCTGTGCTAGACTGTGGAGCGTGGATTCACACAACCTAGGAATCAAGGTCAGCCCTCCCAGCTGGTGCTGCTCTCCGGAAAAAGAATACCACAGGGGCTGCCCCGCCCCTGACCTCGCCACCCGCCTTAGTAATTGGGGGGTGAGTGAAGATCTGGGTGGCCCCTGTGTGACAGCCAGTAACACACTCAGCCCTCCAGGTTCGGGAAAGGGAAAGAACGCGGCAGGGAAAGGATTTCTTTCCGGGTAGGGTCCGTGGGGGAAAGGCCGCAGTCCTTGTGTCCTTCCTTTTGACCAAGGTGTCTCTGTTGCTCCATAAATAAAACGTCTCACCGACTTCTGTCTGTGCTATAAAGGCTGCGGAGCGGCTGTCCCCGGGCATTCCGGACGGAGCGCAGGAGCGAAGCAGGTGAGTTCACTGCTGAAGACTACCTCACTCCGCCCCGCCCTCGCACAACTCCCCGGGACGAGACTAGTCTAGGGGCAGCTGCGGGCGGGCAGGGGGCAGTACAGCCTTCTTTCTGAGAAGCTGAGAGTAAGGGGGTTAGAAAACAAGACGTGGGGTCCTCCTCCTCTACCCCGCAGGAGAGCTGGGACCTATCGCTGGAATTTGCCTGCAGCGTAGGCAACCTCTGGACCTCAGGAGCACATCTTGGGGGTCCCACGCCCTGCTTGGTGCACCCCTCCCACTACGTGCCTGGAACAGTGCCCTGGGTCTGGTACTGGAAGGGAGGGCGCTTTTCCCCTGGCAAGCTCTTGAGGCCCCTGTCCGAAGGGTGGTTTGTAGAGATTTCAGGACGCGGACAGCGCCCCAGCTGCCCGAGGCGGCGACTTGTTCCAAATCTGGAAGCCCTCAGAATAAGGATCCCTCTCTTCAGAGTGGGGTAGTCCCCGGCAGTAGGTGCAGGCCACGGGACACGAAGGTGCTCAGGTGCCCCACTCCAGGTTGGCCTGTGTGCCGTGGAACTGCGTGTCGCTGGCGCGGAGGGCTGCAGGACGCAGACCAGGCTCGCCACGGTCAGCCACAACAGGTGGCGCCCAGAGGCAGCTAACAGATGCTAACAGCCTGTTTCTTGCTCTTCAACTCCGATTGTCCTCCCTTGCCGCTTCTCCTCCCTCTTAGTTGTCCTCGGGTTCGCAGGTCATGGCAGCGCCGGGCAGCAGATCGGATCCGCCACAGCTACCAGAGTACAGCTGCAGCTACGTGGTGTCGCGGCCGGTCTACAACGAGCTCGCCTTCCAGCAACAGCACGAGCGGCGCCTGCAGGAGCGCAGGACTCTGCGGGAGAGCCTGGCCAAGAGCTGCAGGTAGTTGGCCAGAGGCGTGGAGAGAAGTGGAGCGGGGCGTCTGGGTGTGCGGGGTGGGGGGCTCCCGCCCTACCCGCGACACTGCCCGGGGCTTCTCTGAGAGACTTGATTCTGAGTCTCACCACCACAATGCCACCTTTCCTTGTCCGACGGTGGCTCCATCAGTCTCCCGCCAGGAATCACTGTAACTCTTGCCTGGGGAAACTCGCCTTCGGAGGGAGTGGATTCCCGGAGCCCCATCTCTTTTTTCTTGATGAAACCTGGAGTGTACCTTGAGGTACTGTGGGTCTCTGTGTTGCCTTCTTTTGAAGGAAGCATGAGGAAAGAAGGGAAGAAAACGGCTCATTTAAAGGAAATGGTGGATAAACCCACCACCAGGCCAGGAGTCCTTGAAACCCTCAAGAGAATGCGGGCTTGATACCATTTAGTTAGAGACCTGGATGAAAGAAAACAGCTCCAAGTGGTGTACTCCAATTACTTCACCAGGAGACAGGGGGACCCCTACAGAGAACCACCTTGTCTCTAAGCCCAAATGTGCCACACAGAATTAGAAAATCCAAACATGAAGAACTTAGAAAACAGTCAACTAATTGCAAATTTTTCTTTTCTTTTTTTTTACCCTTTTATTATGCAACACTTAAATTATATGGAAAGGTATAATAATCCCCCCTGCGAAGTTTTTACTCATCACCTAGCTTCAACAATGACCAACTCAGTTAATCTTATTTTACCTACAACCATTCCCTTACCCCTCCAATATTTTGAAGGAAATCCTGACATCCATAGGAGATTGGCTCCAGGAATCTGGAAGATACCAAAATCTAAGGATGCTCAAGTCCCTTATATAAAATGGCTATAATATATATAAATTACTTGTTATACCAACATATGTAAATGCTGTGTAAATGGTTGTTATAGTGTGCTACTTAGGAAGTAAGAATCTACATATGTTCAATATAGACACAATTTTCCCCCTGATTTTTGATCTGTGGTTGACTCAGAATGCATGGAAAAGGAGGGACCACTGTATATATCTTTTAGTATGTACCTCTAAGAACTCTTTAAAAATATAACCACAAGCCAGGTGTGGTGTCCCAGTCCAGTAATCCCAGAGACTTGGGAGTCTGACACAGGAAGATCACAAGTTTGAGGTCAGCTTCAGTAATTTAGGAAGGCCCTGTCTGGGTTTGGCTTGCGCCCCTCTGGGTTCATTCCCCAGAATGAAAAAAAATGCATAAAATTATATATAAAATATATATGCATAACTTATACATAATGTATAAAATATATATATTTTTTCTTTCTATAAATCCACATATTGTTATCTACCTAAAACCAATTCCTTAACATAAAAACATTGGCTCAACATTAAACATTTCCAATTGTTTCATAAATGTCATAATTTTTAAAAACACAATTTTCTATTATGAGTCAAATGTTTACCTATTATTGTTGATATTTTTCCTCTTATGTGTGTAGGTTGTTGAATTTAAAGTTGCTACAAGGTATACATTTATTATGTTAAGGTTTTCTTAACTGACTCCAAGCTTGTATTGCCAAAATATTCAGTGTGTTTATTTTTGTTTAAAGAAAAGAAGGCGGTACCTAGGTTAGAAGTCTAAAAATTAATCTCCACTTAGAGACTCCACATTGATCCCTCTTTGGCTGGACCAGAAAATGGGTTCTTGTGTAGGGATATTTTCTCACAGGATTAAAAAGGTGGAGGAGAGGAGGGGACATTTAATCCTGTGTTTCCTAGTACARTGCACTTAAAAGGATAGCTACAATTCTTGGCAAAATCGTGGTAGCTCTCCAGTGCTAGTATTTTCCATAAATTATTTTTCTAAATGGTTATAAACATCAGAGGAGTTAATTCTATAATTCTAGGATTTATAATTGGTTATGCCTGAAAGTGAATTGGAAATCCAGCTTTCTCGTTTTTTGACAGTTGTTCAAGAAAGAGAGCTTTTGGTGTGCTAAAGTCTCTCTTGCCCATCTTGGACTGGCTCCCCAAATACCGAATCAAGGAATGGCTGCTCAGTGATATCATTTCAGGAGTTAGTACTGGACTTGTGGGTACACTGCAAGGTAAGATGTTGGTGGGCTGGGTCTCAAGTAGTTGAGAGATACTGTCTCCTGCTGTAGTCCACAATGGCCTGGCCCTACTCCTTGTACCATGGCTCTGTACCAAATGCTTACTCCCTCTTCAAGGCCTACATCTTTCCTCTGGAGTCCCTCAGTGGGAAGATTCACCTCTTTTCTCCTCTTCCATTGAGTTCTTTTCCTGGGAAATGCTATAGCTTCTCTAGTTGTGTGGCTCCAACTTAGAGGCATATACCAAAAAGTGGCTTTCCACATTTATAAACCACAACATTTAAAAATATTTATTTATTTATTTTAGTTGTAGTTGGACACAATATCTTTATTTTGTTTATTTATTTTTATGTGGTACTGAGGATCAAACCCAGGTCCTCACATGTGCTAGGTGAGCACTCTACCGCTGAGCCACAATCCCATCCCCTATAAACCACAACTTGTAGTAATAAATATGCATTATATCACAATCTATACAAACATCATTAAATTTTTGTGAAATAATGTTTATTCTCACTGTATTAATAACTTCTAATATGTCCTATTCTAGTCTGGTTTTTAAAAATTATTATTTTAGCTCATTAAATTATTATACATTTTACACATGGATGTTCACCTGTAGTGTGAAACTGGTTTAAAGGAAATTAAAAACAAAAGTGTCTTAGCTTGGACATACATGAGTATTCCACCCCCCTTTTATCCATCCTCTTATTTTAATCTTCTGGGAAAATGTTCCAACACAGGTGAGATTTTTTTGTTTTATTTTGGAACTTGATTTATTCCATAATATTTCCATAAGCATTTTAGAAATCTGTTGCATAGTWTGTGTGTAACAGTATAGATATTCTCCTCTGCCCCTCATCCTCACGATCTTGTTTCAGCACTACTGGCACCACCACCCTGTCCAATCCCTCAAAGCCTCCAAGTCATGGAAAAGAAGTCTCATTATTTATTATAATTTTATGGATCACCTAGGATGTACACTGACAAGAATAAGATGTGCCACCTGTTTTCAAGGGGTTCATAGTTTAGTGGAGAAGTGGAGGCTCACAATTTAGTGTGCTAAAGGCTGTGGCAGAGGCAACATTGCCTGCTAATGGGGTGCCATCGAGGAGCCCACAACCCAATCAGGGGATTGGGAATGGCTTCCTGGAACTTGAGTTCTCAAAGCTGTTTCCCTGAAGGTTAAGTCTGAGTCTCAGCTGATGGGAAGTAGTGGAGGGTATGGCTGTGTGTAGAAAGGTGGCTTGAAAACAGACTACTTTGAAGTTAGTAATACATGGTAAACAATATTGTGTTGAGTTAAAATTTGGTTATGGAGCACTCCAGATTATTCAGAGCAGGCCAGGTAGATTCCCACAGGGGAGAATGTTCTGTTGGTCCCAATGTGGGGTCTCACTCCCAAAGCCATAGGAGGGAGAACAGAATGGGGCATTGCTCTATGCAGCTGGCTCTAATGACTGTGACAAAGCAACATCCAGTGCTCCTGGGAACAGGAACCATGCATGTCTAGTTCATGTTTGCTTAGCAGTTGGTTAGCAGTTCATGTTTGCCTAGCATAGAAATTGGTACATAATAGATGGCCCTATAAATATTTAGTGAAGAGGATTGAATTGTTGATAACTAATTGTCTTTATATATGAAAATAGTAGTTCAAGCTCCAGGTCTCCTGAGTTTTCATAGACAAGTATTTAGTCTATGGATTAATTTTATTTAGTATGTATTAGAAACTATACAAAGGACTTTGCCTAGTTATCTCATTTAATCCTCACACCAACCCTGCAAGGTAGGTACTATTATCATCTCCTTTTTCAATAGATGAGAAATCTATTAAATCTTCCCCAAGTTCAGGGAGCTGCAAGTGGTAGAGCTGAATTTGAATTCAGARTCTAATTTCTAAGATCTTAACTTGTACATTGTATGTTCTTTACTTTATATGTGGTTTTTCCAGAAACATTATATTTATAAGATAACTTTCGGGGAGGGTAGTCTGGCTCATTCATATATTTGTTTATTATTCATTTGTGTAATCAATATTTGTAGACTAATTCTGTATGCCAGGTATTGAGCCATAAGATTCAGTGATTTATTAACAGGTATGGGTACTGACCTCATGGAGCTCCTTTCTAGTGGTAGTTCTGGGAATTAAATAATTAAGTGTATAAATAAAAAATATTTTATAGATTGTGACAACCATTGTGGTGGAGTTGAAATGCCAAAAATAGGAATTAATTTGGGAGGAAAGGTCTATTTTAGATACAATGGTCAAAAAAGGCCAAGTTGAAGAAGTAGAATTATAGACAGAGACCAGAAGAAGAGAAGGAGGCAGCCAGGTGCTGAGCAGGAGGAAGAGGGCACCAGGTAAAGATGCAAAATCCATGAAGGCAAAAAGTGCTTAGTCTTTTCCAGGGCCTGGGCTAGATCTGGGAGGAGCAGGAAAAATTCTGGTCTAGGTGGAGTACAGCTAGGGAGGGTGGGTAATGATGAGATAAGGTTAGGAAGGCCAGGGTTTAGGGCCAGGCAAGAGGGTCATTCACTCCCAGGGAGCCTCTTTAAATATTGTGCCCTAGGCTCCTCACTTGCTTCACCCCAAACCCAGCCCTTAGGATAAGTGATTCGGCTTGAACCAGATCAAGCAGAACATGGTGAGATCTGCAACATCTGAAGTATTTTTTTGCAGCAAGAACTCACCAGTATAACTGATAAGTGCATATAAAAACTACAGACAACTCCTTGGTTGTTGACTTGTGCAACTGGGTGGATGGTTATGTCATTTATTAAAATGGCAAAGATTGCCAGGAGCAGTGGCTCATGCCTATAATCCCTGCGGCTCAGGAGGCTGAGGCCAAAGAATGGCAAATTCAAAGCTAGCCTCAGTGAACATGAGTTGCTGTCTCTAAATAAAATCTAATGTATGAAATATGATATGTCAAGAGCTTTGTAATGTTTTGAGCAACCAATAAAAAGAAAAAGAAAAAAAATACAAAATAGGGCTGGGGTATGTGGCTCAGTGGTTGAGTGCCCCAGAGTTCAATCCTCAGTACAGAAAACAAACAAACAAACAAAAAGGCAAAGACTGAGCCAGGCTTAGTGATCATTCCAGCTACTCAGGAGAATCACAACTTCAAAGCCAGTCTTGGCAACTTAGGGCGATTCTGATTCAATAAAATTTTTAAAAGGGCTGGGGATGTAGCCCAGTGGTAGAATACATACCAATACATACAAAAACTGGCTGTGAAGCAGGTTTGGAACCACAAACCAAGGGTTTCCTTTTGGATGGTCTAGGTTTGAGATGCACATGAGACATCTAAATAGAGATTCCAAACAGAGGTTGGAACTCTTACAAGTATAAAGATCAAAGTTGAGGCCTGGACTGAATGTGACATCACTTTAGAGGTGATATTTAAAGGAACAGGTGTCAGGACAGGCTGGGAATGTAGCTTAGTGGTAAAACACTTATGTAGCATGCACAAGGCCCTGGGTTCACTGCCTGGTACCTTAAAAAAAGGTGGTATGTGGAGGGTGGATTAAAGGAATGGAAATGTCTGCAATTACTTAGGAAAGAAGGGCTGATGGGGAGAAGAGGGCTGGTGTACTTAGAGGTCAGGAAAATGAGAAGGGATAACAAACCACTTGAGGAAGTTGGACTCAGAAAGCTGGAGAAAAAGATACAATCCAAGGAATGAGGAACCAGAAGGAAAGAGAAAAGTTTAAAACAAAAAAAGGATAAAGCTTCCCATGGAAATTCAGGACTGCTTTTAGCAAGTTTTGCTGTGAATTGGAGGGAGATAAAGGATACAGGTGGAGTGAAGGACAGATCTGCTTTCCTTTTAATACAAGAGCTACTAGAATTTATTTGTGAATTGGAAGGAATAACCTCATAGAAAGAGAGAGATCTGTGATTCAAGAAGTAAAGGAGAAATTTCTAGAAGCAAATTCATGAGAAGGAGGCAAATATGGATAGGTTGCTGGACAGAAGTGGGAATATTACTCTTTAAGGACAAGGAGGAGATTTCCTCCCTTTCAAAGGAAGATAGTTGGTTCAAACTGTACAGATTCAGAGAGGCTTGAAATTCTGATGAAAAGCAACCTGGAATCTGCATTCGGGGTAAAATTGGAATCTGCAATCTGCATTCGGGGTAAAATTGGGAGTTCATAACCCACTTCAATCTAATATATGAAATATGATATGTCAAGAGCTTTGTAATGTTGTGAACAACCAATAAAAATTAAAAAAAAAAAAGCAACCTGGGAGCATCTCTTCTAGATTCCATGTTTTCAATGAAAAGGTAAGATGTGCCTCTTCTACTCTGGTGAAGAGAGAAATGGTCTTATTGAGGAAAGAAGGGGAGGTTTTAGAAGTTGTCTGAGAGAAAAGCACAATTCCTGAGGAATTGGCTCTCCAGGAAGTACCACATCCTAAGCACCTGTTTCAAATTAAACATCAGCCTTCAGCTTGCAGAATAATTTCTCAATAATTAGCAAACTGCAGAAGATGACCCATTATCAGTTGCTTACTTTTTTTTCCCTTCCTGATGAAGGATAACTGCATCCAAAGGGCTTCTTTCTGTACTGAATCTGAAAGGTGGAACAAAAGAAAAGCAGTCTTTTCCATTCCAAACCATGGAGGTAATGTGTAGAAAGATATCCATGTTTCAACAGGGAAAGTGGCTGGATGAGAGAAGCAGGACTACCTACTCTAGAAGACAACATAAGAATACCTGCCAGGCCCTGAGTTCAGGATGTGTTTTGAGATGAATATAAAAGCACCTAAATGTCAGGAAAATGTTCTTCCTGTGTGATAAGGATTCCGGAAGACAGTGTGGACTGCCCTGCGGTGGCCAAGAATAGCAATTTCAGTTTGGCCAGGCCAGGCCAGCAGCCAGCAGGCTCCCCACACTCAGTCCCTGACGGCTGCCCACACCACCACCTCACCACCTCTGTGTCCTGAGTGGTCTGACTTCTTGGCTCACCTCCCATGGTTTGGCAGAGGT